CTTGAGCTTTCCCTGGGCCTTGTCGAGGTCCTCGTGGGCCTAGCAGTTTCAAACACAAAACAAAGATGAGAACCGTCGATATCCAGTCCTTCCGTGACGCACAACAAGCCGGCCAGAGCCCCTCCACCGAGCTCACCAACGTCGCGGGGTTGTTCGCTGAATGTACAAAACCCCTCTCGGGGATGCGGCTTCGATGTGCTTCTAAACCCCGCATGTGTGCCGCCATGACAAATATACCAAAGATACATACATACGTGTGCCTGCATGACAAAGGGGGAGTTCGTCCGAGGTTGACTGACCCGTGGGCCAATACCCACACTATACACACGGCGTCGGGTTGGCGTGTTTGCGCAACAAGCAGTCTGGAGGACCCCGGAAAAAACAACGTGACCCTGTAGCCAAGTGCTTCGTGTTATGCCTGTGCGAGGACACGACTTTCATGGCGACCCACCGTGTTGAGCATGCTGTTGCTCGAAACGATCTCCGACTTCCACCGGAGGCGCTGCTGCTCCATCTGCTGCTGCAGCGCCATCTCGTGCTGTTCCACCTGGCCCGACATCTGCTTGATCTGCCCTTCAAGCTCGGTCACCCTTGCCTTTTCCAGCTTCAGCATGTCCTGCTCAGCTTCCAACTGGGTCGACAACTATTGTATGGAAAGGACACATGGCGGCGGTAACATCAAACCAGGGATGAGCTGATGAGAGGCCAACACTCGCTCATACCCCAAGGGACCGGTACAAAGCGTTCCTATCACCGGAATGGATACATGTGTGTCGAGCAAAGAAAAGCGGCGCGGGTTCAGGTTGCAGGAGGGTAAACAAATCCTGCATACATACTTACACGCCAGAACACTAACATTTCCCTACCACGAAGGAAATCAAAACTGTAACAAAGAGCTCCACCCACAAGAGAATCTCAGCGCCTACGTAATCCCCAAAACTCAAGCAACACCAGATTCTCAGAAGCCCGCCCTCTTGAGCTAAACCAACACCCATAGGCATCTGATAACCTCACTCAACACTAGATCTCAGAACCTGACCCTCCACGATCGATCATTCAGCACGATAAATTTGAGGACCTCGCCCTCTAAGCCCAATCAACAACCATACGCAGAGGTATTGGGGAGAGCACCTCACCCTCTGAAATTGTGGGTGCCCGGATAGGTCAGCCTTCTTTGTATCTAGCTCCGTGCTGGCCTTTAACTGGGTGAGCTCTCGCTCCGCCTCTATCTTCTCGGACCTCCACCTCTCCATCTCCCTCAGCCTACCGTACACCACAGCAGTACACCACGTTTGCCGACAGAACCAACAGTAGGGGGGAAAGTTGTGAGTTATGACACCACGCAGCGATGCATCGTGAGAGCGGGGTGTTTCAGCCAAAAAATAAAAGAAATCATTTGGTGCGGTACCTATCTACGATGTCCTCACACGTGGCCACGATCGCTTACACCACTATATAGTCTGCACGGAAACTGCCGTGATCAACACGCTTAGCCTCGGGGGCAGACCCAACCAAAACACGTTGTCCTCGTCACCGGTTTTTCGAAACGCGATCAAGCTCCACCACCCACACAACGCACTGACAGGAGGTGCTGGAGTACCGAGCGGGACCCCGCAAACCAAAACAAACTACTTAGTATAGGTTTGTATCATTTGTTCGAACGAACATAAAACAAGTCCGTGGTAACGACGGTACCAACAACGGTGTACCGGTAATTTTCCGTTAACGGTGTCGTACCGGCAATAGGTCCCGCCAACTCACACGACACAACGCAAACTTTAGTTTCGCTTGGACGTGCTACGGCAAGGCGCAATGTTACGGCAATGGCACGATACCAAAGCTAGCGGTGCTGGCGACACGCCACGGACTCGTTGGTTAGTTGGTTGAACTGCAGGTGCGGGTAGGGTACTGTTATCCTACACGTGCGGTACATTAGTCCAACACGGTACAATACGGTATGTACCTTGTCTCTGCCAAGGTCTGTGCCTCCTCGAGGGAGGCAAGAAGATCCTCCGCATCCCCGGCCCCGTTGACGCCTCGCTTGTAACCTTCAATTATACCGTAAATACCACAACACAGCAGCAGTACAACCAAGGTTAACAACAAAATGGAATGTCGAACTGACACAATCTTAAGAGTTCGAAAGCAACCTGTCATGGGTGCGACTACAAAGTGTTCATTGGAAGAGACGTGGCATACCATGTGGTACAGAACAAGCAAAGAAACGAAAACGATGAATTTGTACCGCATAGGCCAAACAGAGTCAAAATAAGGCCAATCAATACCCAGCAGTTGTTTTCGGGCGCTCACTGCAAAGACTTCATCCAACACATACCCCTTCAACTATTAGTACTGCTGTGGTATATTTTCTAGAACGGATAGTCTTCAGTGATCGCATGTACACTGTCTAAAGGCAAGGACGATGATAAGGTTCAGAACGCAGACGAGAACAACAGAGTGATCAGGGTCACCGCAAATGCTGCGTCCCAACTCACCGGTGCCAACAGAGTACGTCGAACCCGCTCCATCACCTAGCCCTGCAGCCCCTCCTTCGGCGCTACCTTTCCTACCCCCACTGCCATAACCGCCGCCAAAACAAATGTGTCAAAAGGGACCGGACGAACGGGAGAGAGAGAGAGAGACAAGAGAGAGAGAGGAGGGGCGGGGGGGGAGGGGGGTGCTTGTCGCTTACATAGCCACACTGATGTGTAAATAGACACAGGACGGAGAGTTAGATGCGACCCGCACACAGGACAACGCTTGTTGTGGGTCCTGTATCAACAAGTGATCCACCGAAATCAGGGTTGCACAGCTTTTTCGTTTTGAAACGGAAGTGTAGTTGGTGTTGTTGTTTTTCTTCACATTAAACTCGTGTCAATTGCTAATCCCAAAATCTAGCAAAGACTCGGTCCGTGGTCACAAAAATGCTAGAGTCATCAGAAGATCTACAAACACTATTAGCACGAAAAGGGTACGCAAGCCCGAGGAGGTACACCTGCAATCCCTGCAGCACGTTTGCATGCTCACAACTGAACTACACAAACACACACTACAAATCGACTACAGCAGCAGCATAAACTCCCTTGTCCCGCATTGAACCAAAATGAATGTTTGTCGGCTACAGCGTGCTGCTGTCTGAAGTGCTGTCTGTACAAAAATAACACCATGGTGCATGGTACACAAGCTCGGGGCATGCAGCTGCTGTCTGAAGTGCTGTCAGAATGCGTCCGTGGACATACAATGAAGGAGGACACCCAACCAAAGCCATCATTACAATTGACAATCACCCGAATCTATCCAGATCATCTGTGATAGGCACAGCAGTGTGAACATCGACACTGACTAGGAATCGGTCCACATTGAAGGGGTCTTCCGCGATGCAGGTACACAATTAAAAGCACCCGGGTTATCCGCGGCATCTCTGCCGCGTCTCTCTACAAAACCACACACACCCAACACCTGTATTCAGGAAAAAAAGACGGAAAATAATTGACAACAAAAGAGATGTTTGTCCGTGCGCCACGGTTCGATGCCGTCCGCCTGCTCCGGTTCCGCTGCTCCGGTTCCGCTGCTCCGGTG